AAAAATCGGGGATCTGGGGTAATATACATAGCCAGGTTTGAACGAGATATGCCTAAAAACGTGACATGACTTGTGCTCGGAAACCGGAAAATAATCGTCTTTCTGAGCGAAATTTTTAAAAATCAGTGATTTAACATAAAAAGCTAACATTTGAAGGATGTTAAGACGATAATTTCATTTTAATTTGACGAAATTTACCCCTAAATATTTTTTGTTCATTTTCAAATATTTTACGGGTAGTCCAAAACAGGCCGAAATAGCGTCTTGTAACCCGATACCTTTTCGAACGCGCATAGCAATGGGAAAGAATGCCGTAGTGACAGACCGCCGTGAAAAGACAACAAAACACAGAAAAGTTCTTCACAACAATTATGGGCACTATTTCTGTATATTCTTGATACAAATTGTTAATTTTTCGTTCATACAAACAGCCCGGCCGGGCCCCGGTTTGGAAATGTGACCTAAGCATAAGGCATTCTTTCGCATTGCTAGGGGGGTTCGAAAACGGTATCGGGTTGCAAGACGCAAGTTTGGCCTGTTTTGGACTACCCGTAAACCACTTGAAAATAAACAAATTGAAGGGTAAATTCCGTCAAAATAAAACGAAATTGTCGTCGTTACATAGGTTTAGTGTTAGTTGTTTACGTTAAATTAACAATTTTTAAAAATCTCGCTCCGAAAGACGATTTTTGGGGGATTTGGAGCGCCAGTCCGAGACAGCCCGAGTCATGTTTTTAGGCAAACACCTTTATGTTACCCAAAATCCCTGATTTTCATATTTAGGACTAGGAATAAGATAAAAAATTGTGTTTTAGGAATTTTTATAATTTTTGATTTTATGTATAGTTTTTGTCGACTTGAATGTAAAAAAAGGCATTTTTTTTTACATTATTTCCCAGTCAATTGCTCTTAATTCAAAATCAAGGTCCTTTTTCGAAAATCCCTAAGACACGATTCTGGACAAACCCGTTACGGTCATTTTGAGCCGTTAATGAGATATGTTGTACTCTCCATGCTTCCAATCTTAAACGAGTTTTTTATTTGCACGCATGTCATACGGCATGACTATGGGCAGTGTTTATTTAGGCTGGCGAGTACAAGTATTGCGATCTTTAAGGTCACCTACGATAACGGTAGTAGCTCCGTTTCATGTTTCAGCCCACTGCCTCACTGAAAAATGAAAGCAAACATGTAGTTGTCCAGGAAATGGTATATATTTGTTAAAAGGTGGATATTTTTCTGTTAGGAGATACATGCACACATGTAAAAAGGAGCCTGAAGACCGAGGTTTACTGTAAATGACCGCGGGTGACCCCATTTCGAACACAGTTCTGTTCGAATTACGTCAGATCGAACATGGTTCGGGTTCTACTACAGGTGGGGAGATTGGGGCCCAAATTTGACCACCTTGAAATCCCATATTTATGTCGAATGGCACGCGTGCAGAACTCGTTTAAGATTGGAAGCATGAAGAGTCCAACATATCTCATTCGCGGATCAAAAAGACTAACGTGTGTGTTCAGAATAGTGTCTAAGGGATTTTCGAAAACAATGGCTTTTATTTCTAATTTTGAGCAATTGAGTGCGAATAAATGTCCAAAAATGGCGTTTTTCACCAATATCTGGACAAAAACTATACTTAAAATAAGAAATTAAGAAAAAAATTCTTAAGACAAGATTTTTGATATTACAACTAGTCGTCGAAAAATATGAAAAAATCGGGGATTTGGGTTATATACGTAGCCAATTTGCCTGAAAGCATGACTGACTGGCTCTGACCGGCGGTCTAAATCCCCCCAAAAAATCATATTTCGGTATTTCGGAGCGAGATTGTTTTTTTTTTTTAAATCAGCGATAAACAGCTATCATTAAAAATATGTAAAGGCGATGATTTCATTTTGTTTTGACGAAATTTAGTCAAAAATAGCGTCTTGTAACCCGATACTTTTTCGAACGCCCCTAGCAATGGGAAAGAATGCCGTAGCAACAGACCGCCGTGCCTACCTATTTTCTACTTTACGTCACGTCCGAGAAAACGTTCCTCGCTGAAGCTAGGTATACGTACTAATTTTAGGAATAAAGAAATCTTTACATTACCAGAAGCTAGGCGCAGCCTCGGCGAATGAGGTCGAGGATTTCTATACGTAAGAAATAAGCATTCAATCTCGCTAATCTCTAAAGTACTAAAATCCAGTCACAAATGTAGTTGAAATTCATGTTGCAGGAATGGATTTAAAAAAATCTCCCGTAACAGTAAACCTATAGATTTTCGCACTAGAGAACATACACATGTACTTCGCTGCAGTACCTTACTAAACTTAAGGCAAAATCAACATTGACCTTCATTGTTTTAACTACAACCTACCTATCAAATATCATAAAGATGCATGATTTATCAAGGATTAAAATATCAGCAGCAGTAGCACAAAAAGTCAGCAACCCCTGTGTATGGTGTAACCGATGTACTTAACAACACTTATCTGTGTTTTATAGGTATTACACAATCCTTTTACTTGGAGAATTCGTCTTCTTTCGCAGCGCCGTAAGGAACTTCGAGGTAAGGAATGATAACCATTTCTATGACATTTTTTGTTGTTGTTAGAATGGTCATTCTCGAGTAGGTGCCGGCACAACAACGACTACACCACCCGACCCTCTACGCCTAAATTACTTCTAAAGTAATTTCAAGTCGTCATTGGGCAAAATCTAAAATGGCGAACCATATTATTAGCGCATGATTGTATAAACGGTTTATTTTCTTACTTCCTATATTTGATACCGAAACGTTTCTATGCGAGTCTTATCAATGGCACTTAACATTTATTTTTGTCTTGAAATATGCATTAAAAACAGAAAACTGACATTACATGGCGTCTTTTCCTGGCGTCAATAGTGTTACAATGGGAAATCTGATATTTTAGTTTTACAGGAATAGCCTAGTTTGCTGGTTTTGGCACCAAAACGTTAAATGATGTCATGATAACGTTACAAAACGTAATGATCCAACCAGATTGTTATTTTTAAACTATCCACTTACACAAGTAGTATTTGTTTTGCCGGCTCCCACTCGAGAATGACCATTCTAACAACAACAAAAATGTAACACATATTTTATGTTATATATAGATATACCATATGTACAATATACAAAATTGCCAGTCCTATCACGATTTGGGGGCGGGGGGGTGGTGGTGGTACAAGAAGATATTTTGCCAGAAAGTGTCCAAAACTGCATTTTTTGTTAACATGAGTATTTTCTGTCCTGTATCCGTTTCTATGTGTGGGACACAACACCAGCAACAGCTGCCTAGGCTGTGTTCCGAGTGTATTGTGCTGTTACAACCTCGATAAATCAAATCAAAATCAAACCATTATCATGACCACATGAAAAGTAATCTACTAATCTAATAATAGAAAATTGTTGCATATATCACAGAAATACGCCAAAAAAGGTTCTCAAGCAACTAAATATGATTTTGGAAAATAATGTCCAGTTGCTTGAGTAGCTATTTCTTATTACCTGGATGCCTAACCTTCACCCCAGTTTTACCTTAGCCTTTATGCCCAACCGCCAACTATCATAGCAAAGGTTAGTATGTTTGTGTAATGGGTGTTACACGTTTAATATGGATGAACACCTTAACTAGACTTTAAAAAATGGCTTCTGTCCAGGTTCAAGTGCGTACCTGGTCCTGTGGCAATAAAGGAGCTACCTGTCACTGTGCAGTCGCTGTCCGTGAGGGGAATGACGTCGTAATAGTCGACCTTTGCCACGTGGGTTGGGGTAACCATCAATCAGCCTACCCCAAGATTACAGAAAAGACACCTGATGGGGGCCCTCTTTCTCCTGCAGTAACAGTATACAGGGATCCTTCAAATAAGAGATTCTCGGTACGTGAAAATCGCGCTAAAATCACTTGTATTTCATTTGATCTTGAAACTTTGTTGACTTATCAATGACATAGCCATCTATTATGAAATGATTCCGAGGAGAGCCTGCCTAATCATCATGGGCCGCGACTAGCCTTGAGAATACAGCACACCTGGGCCTTACCACTCTTGCTGAAAGGTGCGAGGAACTGTGTCAGAAGTTTGCCAGATCTCGTGTCAACTATGAACTCTAACACTGGCGAGTCGGAGCTTTACCATATCAGGAAGAAATACCAGAAATATGTTAGCACAATTGCAAACTGAACATTCCGAAGGCAAATAGTTAGAGATACAGTTCTCTCCGATACCAAATATCACACGTTTGTTAAACCAATATGGTTTCTAGTATTCTGTGACGTAATGTGTATTTCAATGACAGAAATGTATTCTGTGGAATATCATCGTCCATAACCGTTTTAGTTCTATTTTTTAAATGTTTATAAGATATGTAACACCTTGTCAAATTCTCCACTCAAACCTGGCTATACATTGTTTTTTATTCAGTGCAGTCCAGATATCTTTTAATTTTTAGTTACGATAATGATATAAATTAGCTTATTCAAAAGCTTATGATCATGAGTGATGAATAAATGACGTTTAACTATAGTAATTGTAATTTGCATTGTTACTTTTTCTTGCAGATCCACATGCCATCTGCCAGCACAGTAGTAGCAGCGATAAACAAATGGGGTATTGATGTCCACGCGTATGTACCTACAGGAGATCGAGGACATACCGTAGGGTTATGTGGAACTTGGGATGGAAACGGAGGGAATGATTATAATATGTCTAGCGGATCTCTTACAACTAACACGGACGAGTTTGGCAACAGCTGTAGGTGAAACAAAATATTTTGGGTCAATTTATATAGGTGTAGCTAGATTAGTTTATCTCTGAACAGATAATTGAGAATAGTATATTAAGGTATCCTTTCGTATGTTTAATATTAGGGACATTGAACTCATGGCGAGTATCGACAAATGTCAATACTCCAAAGCCTTTCGATTCTGTGCCTTACCTTTCCTTTGATAAAAAAAATGTACAAAAATAGATTGTCATCTTTTATGTCTTCTGCCTTTTCTTGAAATCTAATCAAGGGAAAAATTAGCGATATGTGCGTTACGTGAAATAAGATTGCGTATTGGCAGCATTTTGTTAGGGTTGCAAAGCTTGCTGTATTTCAGGCGCATTGTACAAACGATTTTGTTTAAATATTGTATGGTATTTGATATTGGAAAGTATAAATGATTTATGATCAAAATGATAAAATAATTTTTTTTTAATTATACAGAAACAAGGCTACCTAAGTATGTCTTTTTTGTTTTAGAATCCCCCAGGGAACAAGCTTATTCGACGTCGACTGTCCGGATGAAGATCCAAACGCCCCTGAACCGGTGGAGTCCTGCACGTGTAAGGACGGTAGCAGTATCCATTGCGGGTACAGCGAAAATGCAGCCCGAAATACTGCACGGGGTATAAATACCAGGACCACAGTACAAAAGTCATCAAGAAATGCTGAAAAATTTGGAGGTACAGCACGTCGTTCAAGAAGATCCATCCAGGATAACACATTTTACTCAGATGACATTGATGAGAGTGAAGACTACGTCTTTGACTACGGAGACAACCAGTCCCCTCCTCCAGTCGCTCAGTGGCCAACTCCTACCCTCCAGATCACCGAGGAAGGTGCGACAAAACACTGTAGAGAGGCCATCATGAACTCATCTATGTCTGCAGTATGTGCCAACCTGGGAGTGGATATCTTTGCACCTGTCCGAGCATGTGTCGAGGATATCAAGGTGGGTGTAGTTTTATTTACGCCATGGAGAAGATTTTTTGATGATTTGATGCGTGCAATACCAGTGATATACTAAATGATTGTCTTATCCACATCGTGCTTTTTCAAATCCGCAAAACGAATTGCCTTGTACCATAACACGCGGCGAACGTAAAAATGTTTTTGCAGTCAGAATTTATGAAAATACCATCATTAGTCTTTACCCTTGCATATATTTCTTTTCTGAGTTCCTTCCTCTTCTTCTTCTTTAAACTACGTTCAATCATTTTGACCAGATGTCTGTCGTCACGGTAACTGGTACTGCAGTGAACACCTAGTGGTATTGGTTTACATTTAGAAGCAGGATAGAGTTAGAGGACCGCTAACCATAGACTACTAAAGTATATATTATTAATGTGTTTGAGTAGCAATAAATATTGTTCGGCTAGAACATAATGCATTTGCTTTGCAAATGTCAACTTCTAGTGTGGTCTCTACATTTCAGTTTACTGAAGATTTAGGCATAGCAGCAGCTCACGTGGACACCGTAAAAGCAGCCTGTACAGACGTCGCCTATCAGAACGTTAGTCTGTATGAAGTTGACGATGATGGAGTCCTAGTTCCTCCCATGGCCGTACGAGACAACCTGTGTCCGGCAGACTGCAGTCAGCAGGGTGACTGTGTGAACGGGACCTGTGCGTGTTTTGAGCCGTACACATCAGCCGACTGTTCCCTGGTAAAAGGCAGCCAACCGGCGGTCCGATTCATCCCTAACCACGGCCTGTGCGACATCCGCAGACGGCCGTGTAGGAAGACGTCAGTCATCGCAGACGGGCTGGTGGAGACTGGGAATCTCACGTGCAGGGGCAGGGATGTCAAGGTATTTAAAAGTATATTGCAAAACAGTGGAGCTAAATATTTTCAGCATAATATTCTTTTTTTTCTTGCAATGATTACAATACATCTGAAGATCTGATATTATTCTTAATTGCAGATAGAAAATGGGATCCAGACCATCATTACAGGAAGCGACCAGTTGACAAACGCAACAATCCGCAGTTTTAAAGAAGTTTCTTGTCAACTGCCTCAATCGCCAGTGCTTCAGGGCACACCAGATGAGATGGAGGGAACTAGCATCTATGGATACCGCCTCTCTGTCAGTAATGATGGAGAAAACTTTAGTGACGACCTTCTTTTTACAATCTACGACTCTTTGTGCCAAAACTGTACGTCGGGACCGCAGTGTTTCTGGAAAGTAAGTATATACGTTCAATAACGTTCTTGCATTCTACGTATTAATAACCATATATCGTCAATACCTGACAATTAATATACATAATATTGTGTATAATATATAATATTGTATACTGGGTAAAATAGCGTCAAGTTTGGAATTTACACGCAAAATGATGTCTGAAATTTACTTTTCAGCTAAATACCTGCAAAATAAGAGGTTTCTGTTTTGGACATGGAGATCCGAATCCCAACAACTGGTGCCAGCAGTGCCTGCCACATCTCTCCAACCAGACATTCAGTGAAAGACCTGGTACGACCTTTATAATAAAGCTTTATGATTTTATTTTATTTTCGACTATTTCATATTGAAGCTGATAGTAAACAATATTTCTACGTTCCCTTACAGTTAACCTGCCACCAGTCATTGTGTCACCAACTGACATCACTAGAGTATACGGAGAACATTTAAATGTTACAGTTGTTACCAATGATCCAGAAGGTAGGCCGGTTTCGATCTCCATTACTTCTGCTAACAGGCATGGTATCACGGTGAAGGGTGATCAGCTTCAGTGGAAGACAGAACACCCAACAGGAAATTTTGTTGAGACTATTAAAGCCAGTGATGAATGTGGGGCTTTTGACACACAAAACTTTACATTCATCACCATGGCCTGTCCTTGTCAGAATGGCGGCATGTGTGTACCAGATCCCAACATGCCTCGCGGCCAGGGTCACTATGTCTGTGAATGTCCCGGATACACGGGCCGATGGTGTGAACAGGAGATTGACGAGTGTCAGTCAAACCCCTGTCACAACGGCACGTGTATTGACCTGATCAATGGTTTCAACTGCACCTGTGATGACGACCATGTTGGCGAGTTCTGTCACATCGACATAGATGACAAGTGCGGCCTGCAGCCATGTTTCCCCGGGGTTCTCTGTATCAACGTCGCCGGCGGCTTTGAGTGTGGAGACTGCCCGGAGGGATTTACTGGAAACGGCATTACATGTCAAGGTTAGTGGCATCATATAATGCAAAATCAACTAGAAAGGCCAACATTTGCTTCGGAGCAAATGTAATATTTCACTCCATCTCCCTCCCCATACAAAAATAGAAGATTCTGAATAAATCATACTGCAATCATACAAGGACAAGCTTTTTGAATCTCGACAGATATTTACAAAAATGGCACTTGGCCATTATCTCCCTTTTTTTTTACAAAGATACAACGACAAGCACTTTAAATCTCGACAGCTTTACTTTACACTTATCTCAATTTCAAAGTTACATATTGCAGGTATCTAAATACTACTAATGACGAAATTGCAACTACTACTAACGGTAGCAAAATTTTCACGGTCTGAGAAACATGGACATGTTCACGAAACTATATATTCACGGTGGTGACAGTTGCAGGAAAAAGAAAGTCCAGGAATTATTTCCTAACTGTAAAGATAAGTTCACGGTACAGAGGTGACAGTGAAAACCGTGAACATTGACCTCCTGCTTGCGTTACGTTGCGGTACAGTGAAAAAAAAAATCGGGAATTACAGTAATCAATTTACAGAGTATGTTTGCTTAGTTTCCAGATGTTTTGTATGAATGTCGTAAACTTAGTTTTAAATTAACGAAAACCGATGCGCGCACAGATGCCATCCATACAATCAAATCAACATGGCCTTATTAACAATCATATAAACTATGAAGCCATACATTGAATAAGCTATACATATAATATGATTATCATAACCTTTATTTTTAAAATCATGCCAGTGAGCTAATTGCATGTACAGAGTGAAAGAAAGTAAAGTAAAGTAAAGCAGTAGAATTTCTGTACTAAGCTATGATAGTACTCCATATGATTCGTCCTCATCGTCATCATTCAATGTGGTCTATCTCTTGCTACTAGTGACTGGTAATACCTCTGTAGATTCTTCACACTGGCAGAGTACCGTACTCATTCTCTCTTGTCAGCTCCATACTTTTGTGACAACATCAAAGTGATTTTGGTTTGTATGTTGGAAAAATACAAAAGACTAACATTCTAAGTTATTGACATTCTTGAGTAAGAACAATCAGTTTTTGAATGTTAAAAGCAAAACAACGAAAATCAAAAAAAAATGTTGAAATTGTTAAAATGCAGGATTGTTAAAATTGTTAAAACTGATAAAATTGTTAAAACTGATAAAATTGTTAAAAATGATAAAATTGTTTAAAATGTTAATATCCGATGCACTGGGGTTCGAACTCACAATTTCTGGGATTGCCGTCTGGCGCGTTACCAACCGAGCTAACTCGTTGCGATACACATCACTCACTGCATTGTATGTCATATAAAGTAAACAGCATGGCGGTATCGATCGCCTCAAGCCACCAAGACTTTCAACTATTAACTACGGGGTTTCCTTCTTTATCAGGTTTGCTTTTGAACCACCTTGATGTTACTTAACTATCAACCCGGCTAGCAGAAGCCGCCGGCTCCTTTGATATTACAGCCGCTCCCTGTCCAATCATGTTTACACGCCGGGCGCAGGTCATTGACCTCCAACTTGCGTTGTTCCAACAGAGAAGAGCAAAATGTCTGGCTCCCGCAGAACGTCCCGCACTCTCCCGCTGGACGTACCGCACTCTCCCGCAGAACGTATCGCACTCTCCCGGAGGACGTCCCGCACTCTCCCGAGGGAAGTCCCGCACAGCGTCCTGCACTCTCCCGCAGAACGTCCCTCGAAAATTGATGCGTATTTCATGGCCTGTGCTGTACCTACCAAAACACTTGAGTTCATACTGTCAAAATGGAATGGCTTTGAACAGGTGTTAATTGAGTTAATCCAATCAAATCCAACAGCCAATCAGCAAGAAGAAAAGATTAGGCTGCGTCAGGTTCATGCTTGCATGCCCATATTTGGGCCCGCCCCCGAATTCCTTTCTTATTACGTCACGCGCGTACGCCCCACAGTACTTTCCTATGGGAACAGCTAAAAACGCAAATAAAACGATTGTAAAAGCTTGTATCAAAAAAAATAAAAAACGCCTAGGGGTATTTACCCACTCTACCTTTATACGAAATTCCAGGTCGTTTGGCCCAAAAATGAAGGAATTGAATCAATTTAAAGAAATGGCAGGAGGAGAAGAAGAAGGAGGAGGAGAATCATCAGTAAAAACAGTATTTCCCTCCATACTTAAGTATGGAGTGAAATAAAAATAGCAATTTCCATTTGTAGAATTGTATTCTCAACTGTATTTTTAAATGTCACTTGTCGAAAATTAAAACTGTCGAAGTATTATTGAAATAAACAGTATGTAAGTACAATATTGCATGCGCAGTGTAATATTTTTGAGGGAAATCATCGGGAAAACACCCAAAATACATGAAGTTTGTTACCATCATACTATCCAGTAGTGTAATGATAATAACTGATAATACGATTCCTTCTTTACACAGATGTGGATGAATGCGTCTCTGCCACCACCAATGACTGCACCTATGTTTGTGAGAACACCCCAGGCTCCTATCGCTGTACCTGTTCAGCAGGTTTCATTCTAGTCAATGACCAGTGCATTGGTAAATGGACCTATTAAACAAGCTAATAGAATTACCTTTATTGTCTTGTAAGTAGTTCATCTGTGTTGGTAGTTACATACTTAAAGTTAAATCTTTTTATCGAACACAAATTACCTTTGTTTGATCAGATTTCAGTTGTTGCTTTTGAATTTCAGTGTCATGTATCATTGTGATTTCTTTTAATAATATAGTTTTTAGACATTAGATTATATTCTCATCAAGAACGAATTTTGCACTTTGTGTCTTTCTATTATCCAGATGTATACGTCTTTCTTGACTCTGTTACATGTACATCAATTGTATTCTCACACCTTCAGATATTGACGAGTGTGCATATGGGCTGTCCGAGTGTTCTCATCTGTGCAGTAACAATGCCGGCAGCTATACTTGTGACTGTCCAGCGGGATATCGCCTCGGACCTGACAACAAGCAATGCATCGGTACGTTTTTATGATCATTTTTAAAGTTAAAACACCTATAAATCTAAAGGAATATTTTCTTCTAAAATAGTTATTGTACAGGCATCTCTTTTTCTTTTCATTGGTATCAGGTTAAGTGTGTGAGAATTATCAGGTATAATATCTAATATTCTTGTAAGCTCTTCATACAGCATTTGTTGTTTGTTCATTTAGAACAAAGTATCACATTTCATGAAATACATAACATTGTAATGTTCAAATTATTTGTAGGGATATTTTGAGACAAACATGCATGTCACTGGCAACAAAAATGCCTTTTGTTTCAGAACTGGATGAATGTGCCAACACTCCGTGCGAAAATGGAGGCACTTGTCATGATGAAATCAACCAGTTTTCGTGTTCTTGCCCATTGGGATGGCTTGGAGCTCTCTGTGAAAGAGGTAGGAGATATACGTTATCGTTTTCAATCTAAACGTGTTTTATGCATCCCTATCAAACAAAAAAAAGGTGTTGTGTTGACAAATCTGTCAATGTCAACTTACTTTTCCCTGTCTGTAAAATTAAATAATAAAGAAAGTGGGATTCCAATTAACAAACATGGATGATGGAGCTTGGTTTTAACGTAATTCCTGATTTTTCACAGATCTGTTATGTTCACTGTTTTCACTGTCACCTCTGTACTGTGAACTTATCATTACAGTCAACAACTAATTCCTCCATCTGTCACAACCGTGATCATATAGTTCCGTGAAAACGTCAATTTTTCTCAAACCATAAACTTTTCTACCGTGAATATAAAGAGGCTAACTACAGTCACTGTAAACACGTATACTCCTGGCAGCTATGTCGGAGTTGATTCTGCTTTCTGTATTTTTAGACATTGATGAATGTTTGGTGACCAACCATGGCTGTGAATATGAATGTGAGAACACACTCGGCAGCTATACCTGCAGCTGTCCTGAAGGGTTCGAGCTCAAGAATGACAGGAAGACATGTCAAGGTGAATATAAATGACCCATCAATAAAGATGTGCTTCAAAGTAGCCCTTCATTTTGCTTGTTGTTGGTAGTTATTACTACACAAACTTATAGTGGTCACTACCAGTATCAATTGTTCAGGATGATTAAAAATGTGCTCAAACATGATATAAGGGCTGCATGTAATTATTCTATTCAACAAAGTCACAATGGCAAAGTCACAATGGCATGTCCAAAACAAATATTAGAATCTTCAGAATTCAAAGTAGCAATGTGCAGTTACTCAAACTTTTTTTCAGATGATGATTTCAATTATGCAAATCAACTTTATGTGCATTAATCTGTATCCTATTGTGTACATTTTTGCAAACCTACACACTATAAATCCATCGTTCTTTTTTTGGCTTATTCTCGTTAAACGATTTTACCACGGGCCCCTCTACAGTCCTGTTGGACCAGACCATCATTACTATCTCTGACATGGCAAGCTGTCAAACATCAAGACACGATCAGAACCAAAGCAGTCCCAAGATAAAAGATTCAAAACCAGGAAATTCTACTGCAGTAGCAACAACCCCCGCTAAGAGACGTTGGCCTTTGTATTTCCATGACCTACGCACCAACCTACAAAATAAGTTAAACCAAAAACGTTATGCTGACCGCAAATATGTAGACCCAAGTAGACAGACAGATAGATACACAGAACAGATTAAAACATCACATTTACATGGAAAGCAGGGCAATGGTCTTAAAAAATCAGCATACTAAAGATCTGCAGATATAGGTGTCATAATTGTAGCATCAAGTACTTTTTTAACTAGCATTTTCTTGATCAAACATATGATATATACTCACTTTTCAACAGTGCGTGTCATGGTAACTGTTTGTTGCTTTTAAACGTATCTATGGATTAAAGGGATTTATTTATATTTTTCAGATATCAACGAGTGTGAAACAACCTTGGTGTGTACTCACATCTGCAGTAACACGGAGGGAAGTTACACCTGCAGCTGCCCAGCTGATTTAGTTTTGCAACCAGATGGAATCACATGTGGTAATTACAAATCGAAAGCTGTATGCCTCTTACGAAAAAAACAATATGTCGGAATAGGGAACAGAAATACATTTTTTTCTGTAGTTAGAATTTAAATGTGTTTTTCATGTTCATGTTTATATCGGGACCCTAAGTCATCTTGAATATATGAACGTCGTATTGAGGTTTGGATATGGCTGATAACTTATTTTGAAATAAATACTCAGCGAAAAATAATGTGAGTTAACGAGATGTCAAAGCCTGGTCTCAATTCAGATTTAACAGTTTTTTTTTTAATTAGCTGTACTATTAACTGACCATGTTGCTTGGAAATCTGGAGTGATGGTGAATTCCTGTATAATGTTTTAACATGTTGTAGAACAGCAAGGGCTCTGTGAGTGATGCACCCAGTCATTCTTGGTATACTCTTTAGGAAGAAATCATTGTCTTATGGTGCATTTAACATTGTCTTCTGCAGCCACAAGGCTTACTTATATCCAATGTCTTACTTTATAGAATTTGCCTTTATCAGAAAGACGGAATACTATTTGTCTATGAAAAAGCCTAATCTATCTACATAGCAAAACAAAACATTACACAATTCATGAAACATTCCCCATCTCCCCATCTGTTTCTTCACGGCTGTGGTTGAACATATGTTTAGTGCTTGGATTACGATTAAATATAATTATATTTGTGCCTTTGAAATAATACTAATGCCTTAGCTTGACAAAAAGTCCATATGATTTATGAAAAATGTAATTAAATCTTAACCCAAAGATGTCTTTATTTAAGCAGTACGTGAAACATGGAGATACGGCTGTTTGTAACTTTTTATTAACAATCACACCAGCCTTCAACATTGTTATTCTTAACCACCCTGCTGCTACGTTTTTCAGACGCGATTGTTTTCCATAAGTAACTTAATGTATTTTTTTTTATTCTAGTGATACCTGCGTCGGCCGTAGCACCACAAGAAGGTACCACATCACAAGTTGCGATAGTTTCTATTATTAGGTCCATCAGATTTTTGTCACAGCAGCAATACGTTTGAGTTTAAGTGTGAGGAATTGAAATATTTGTAAGCATGCCGGTTTGTACATTTAATACAACAATATAGTTTATACAACAATATAGTACAGCAAATGCCACTTAATGCCTAATCAGGACACTTCCCCACCGCAACGCAATGTATGTGTCAACTTTTCAAGGCGTTGCTTTGAAATGTGCTTAGTGTTCGTTCTGTGACCCACGCATTGTGCTGTTTTACCTTGATAAACCAAATCAACTACATTTATTCCTCACAATACTATTTTTTTTTTCAAAAACTACAGACTGCCGAAAATCTGGCTGCCCTGGCAAGGATGCTCAGGAGTGCGTTGAGATCGATGGAAACTACGTTTGCCAGTGTATCGAAGGCTATTACCTAGCTGAGGGCGGAACAATGTGTAAAGGTACAAGAGTTATCAATTTTTTATTATATGAAAGCCGACGTTAAATGGAAATTATAATATGCCTTAGAAAATGACTTAGGTATTTATTGATTCGTGAGACTGGTCAGAAAATGCACAAAAATATTTATCCATTCGAGGTTTAAACAAGAGCTACTTTACTACCAATTATGTCTAACCATTGATGATGGTGTTTGTACATTATGATCTTATAAGGATGAATTACTTTCTTTCCTAGAATTGACCGTGTATGAAGCCATGATCACCCTGATGACGATAAACGGCAACGAAGCCGTGTTTACTGAAGGCGGTTTGGGAACCCCTGGTTCGGACGAGTTTCTTGACCTGGCCGTATTGATTGAGGAAGTGGTGAGTGTGATTTTTCTGGTTCAAATTTTAATCGAAACATGTGGTTAACAAGGCATAAAACTACGTTCGAAACATCAAATTTAGATTTAAATGATCATTAGCTACAAATACAGTTTTGTTCTCCACAGATCAATGCGGTGTATGAAAACAGTGGCCTTCAAAACAAGTACAGAGGCTGTAAGGTCGTGACTTTCCGCGAAGGAAGTGTCATCGTTGACTTTGAGCTATACGTCCTTGAGGATGCCGAGTTGTCTTCATCAGATCTGAGGGACGCCATCTTGAACGGCCTGTCCAACAACACTCTCAGTGGAACCAACGGGGTGATTGTTGTCATCCCATCGTCTTTGCAAGTCTCTTCACAAGGTATATACACCTTAAATGGATTTGAAGTAACTTAAATTTTGATTTTAACCTAACTTAAATAGATTTGAAGTCTGTCATATTCGTTCTACCGTTCGTTGGCATTGGCGTTTTTGTGGAGCTATATATTATTATCTTTCACTGTACACTAGCACTTTATTTATAGCTATCACCCCATTTACAAAAAAACACCTGAATAATGGGCACTATGTATGATTTGATTGTTACCTAAGGAACAAATCAAATGTCACTGACTTTTCCTACAAATAGACAGGTATTTCATTAGATGCTTATTTTCCTGTTACTATATATCAGCAAAGTTTAAGAAGACATGTTGTCAATTTTAAGAATCTCCTTCACTTGATGTGCTGGGTATTGGTCAAAATTTCAACAGTGGAATCTGAAACATACTTTAGCCCCAGAAGCCGAATACACCGTATCTCTCACTGATTTGTTTGTAATACCGTAATTTCACAAGAAAAAAAGATTGCCGACTGCTCAAGACGTTTTTTGTTTCTAAGCTATTTTATAGTCAATACATAGCCTTTAGTAATCTCTCATTTGCCTTTGTTCCCATTAGCTACTACTACTCCCGACCAGATGTGGTACAACAACCCCCTGTACCTTACCCTGCTCTGTGTCGGCTGTGCTGTTGTGGTCACTACCCTGATAGTGGGAGCGGTCTGTCTGCTGACCAGTCCCAAACGCCGCAGGAAGATGGTCGTTAGGGACAGCATGGTGGCCATGGGCATGACAGACATGACAGGAAAGGACCAAGGCATTGACGGACCTGCTACTGAAGATGACAAATACGAGTAAAAAACCGTGGACTGTTTAACTCCATTCTTTGTCAAGAATAGAGCAACCCAACCTTCTGTGACGTAACGCAATACACGTAACACACGTGACTTGCTCAGCGGTGAGTTAAAAGTAGGAGAGTTTATAATATCTCTGTTAGGATGGTTGTAATACCTCCATGTCGTTTTTTTTTCTTTATTCTTGAAAAAATATTCAGGTAATTTATCATCATTTACCCATGTCATTGAATATAAATATTTGTCAAAAATACACCACTAAAATGTGGAACAGAAATAATAATAATCTAGCAATTCTTGTTATCTTAATTAACCCTTGTCCTGCTGGAATGTTTTGACAAAATATTTTCCAATAATTTCATGTCTTAATTAGGTCATAGACCCATGGATTTTCTTTTTGCCCTGCGTTGGCATATTTACGTCCGCATTCGTTGCGTTTCGCAGCGGTGTAATTCTTTGCACGAGAAATACCACAAATGAATGGTACTGTATGTGCAACTCAACAATTGAAAGTCGCCACAGGACTTCTTTTTTTTATAATAATATATCACAATCTATGACAGAAAATAATTCATGTCATTATTGTCTCATTATAGTGAGAACTGTTTGATAAGGGCTTTTAGAATATTTGCGTGGTAGTTTTTTCAACATAAGTGTTACGTAGAAAATGTGTGTTTACCAATTTGTCGCTTTTATGACATTTGCGCTCATAAGGCATGTGAACGATGGTGCGTCACATCCCTACTTGACACCCCTATTCGCCCTAGGTTTTCTTTTTCCTAGACCATCGGTGTTGATTTAGATAAAGATACCAGCATATTAAATGTACCAGTCGTGGATAAGAGATTGTTGTTAAGAAGTTATTTTTCTTCAATGTAAAATCTGATCTTCCTACAGTGTGTGTTAAATGTGCAAACTTCCAACAGCTTACCATAGTGCTGTAACATTGTTGTTTTCCAAGCCTTGCCAGAAAAGCGCAAGTTTTTTATTTACAATAAAACATGTCATCTTAAAGAGGCGACAGTGTGATTCATTAGAAATAAGAGAGTTATTTCTACAGGTGAACATAAATGACCCTGGGTATTTTTTGGCTGCAAACAACAACAAAAAAAGCGCTACTCCATTTGTCACTCTTTGCTGCTTTGGCTGCTAACACAGACAACGATTTTTGAAAACTCAGTAGCATTATTGTAAGTATTTAACTAAAACGTATCTTGGTTACTCACTCACTCACTCACTCACTCACTCACTCACTCACTCACTCACTCACTCACTCATTAACCTATTCTCCCAAACCTTATAGCATGGGGGCTTTGAAAAGTGTAGATGCTTTCCCTGACTTCTTGTTTATAATTAGCTTGATTACTAGCAAGATAATGATAGTATCAGGAATACTTTAATCACAGCAATTGAAACATGCTTGCAGTAGGTAAACAAATAAGGCCATGTGAGACATGAACATTAGGATCCTCGTGTGTAATTATTTTTAAACTTATTTCCTTTGTTTGATAAAGGACAAAAATCAGCATGATTTCCAACTGACTTTTATGTAGACTTAATTTCTGTCATTAAAGGCCTAGACGCATTTGAAACTCCCTAAACTTCCGCACTGTCTATCAGAAAAATCTGACATACTTAAGGATAAAACATTAAATCAAATATAATCAATGGTATAACATAGTAGTACGTAAATGTCGTATACACGCTTGAGTATCCTTTGTATAGATTCTTTTCATATTACAAAACCCCGTGGGAACATGGCAGTAGGTAATGTGATAACAAGGAACATTAATTTGGCACTTGGTGAAAGTATACTGAAATCAACATTCAGCGCTATTGACGTCATATTCAAAAGGACGATCTGGGGGTACACAACTACGGCACCCCTACATATCATACAATATAATGATTATATCCACATGGTATAACATAGATAAAGATTTTTTAAAGAAGTTTGAAACAAAAGATGGATAATGATTATGTTATTATCTTACAATGGCCGATTCAACTTCTTATGTATTTATATATATTCATTCGCTCTATATTGTTCCCTATAATCAATTGTATCCTTTACAGATTCTTGCATAAATATTATATATATTGTATGTACTTGTCCCTAAGACTGGTACGGTACTGCAAATATTAATGATATTTTGTGTGTTCCCTAAAACTACGTAATTCAGCCTTTTGTACAAGACATTGTATTATTAGGCTGCAATGTTGTTTTGGAATGCTGCAAAGTCATGGCCTTATGTCTCACAAGGGACGAAGAGGATTAAGTAAGTAATGTTCTTTTAGTTTTATGTCAATTCGCAAATGAACCATTTATATACACACTTGTACTCCTTCAAAGTACCATAACCAGGTTCTAAAAATTAAGTGCATTTATAACAGGAAAATACCTGTTTTTTTTCTTTGTGTAAACTTTGGAGAAAAAAGATTTTCTTTTAATCTGGTAAAATAAATAAGGGAAACTGTCTTGATATTATAATTATCTCTCACAGAAATATGTCCATTTGCTTTCATTTAATCTTGGTTTCAATTTTTACAGATAAAAAATAGATAAATCATACTGGTGATGCACATGATCATCTTTTACAACAGACATCCCACTGCAGACATGTGTTACGGTCAGAATGGATCACTTCAAAACGATCACCATGTTAAAAGTGAAATTGTGCCGAAATGATTTCATCCATAAAATGGCATAAAATCAACTAGAATGAAATTTTAAAAATCAAGCAATCTCTAAATAGAAATAAGGCCTCTCTAAAACAGTCCATGCGAAGTTGACTTTTTAAAATAAGTTTAAAAATACATGCGTTTATCATAAAAAAGTCAAATGAGTCATTCTAAGGAATACATTCTCAAGCTACTTTTATTTAAGTTAAAACAATTCCAGGTCACTTGGTCTTGATATCAGGAAATAGAGGCCCATGTTTCTTACACTTTTCCTGCATATATACATTTATATTAGAAATTAGCAGCAAAATTATGTTAAACTGATCTATGGCAAAAAATTACTACGGAAACATCATATTCTGAATAGTAACCTCATAAACTTTTAAGTCTTTTGTTTTGAATATCAGGGCATAATATTAGTCTCTCTATCAGACTCCTTTGCAGTCTTAATTAATTGGCGACCTAAAAGCAGATTGGACGCACTATTGCCGACCG